TATTTATATATATATATATATTTTATAGATATCCTCCTCCTCCTTCCCCTCCTCCTCATATATATATATATATAGATCTTTTCTTGGTCCTGCCGATCGGCCGTGTTTGGCGTGCGTGTCCATCGGCGCCTGCAGCTTTGCCAGCCTCGGTGCTCGTGTCCAGCAGGTGCGCCTCGCCCAGGGCGTTCCAGGGGTGCCAAGATCGCCCCGCTGGCCCGCCGGAGACCCGAATTGGGATTCGAAAGCAGAGTGATGCCGATCCTGGCCTTCCCGATACTCCCACCATCCGATGCGGCCCGACGACTGCCTGGCGTCGTTGCGCACGCAGTCTGCCGCGCCCGATCTGCCTCGACTCCGGCCCCGTGCCGATGCGGCCCAAGGAGGAGGAGGAGGAGGAGGAGGAGGAGGAGGAGGAGGAGGGAGAGGAAGAGGATGCTGGCCGGTCCCGCTGCCCAGATGTACAAGATCAGCCCCCACGAGGTCATGCGCAGGGCGCTGCAGCGGCGGCCTCGGCGCGGCGTCCGGGGCCGGGCCCGGCCTCTCCCGCAGGGCCGGGGCCCTGCGGCCAGCCACGCCATGCGCTGCTTCCTCGGCGCCGTATCTCTCAGAGGTGGATAGACCTCCTACCCTGACACGTCGATTCAGGAATTGGCCGTTTTCGGTTCGCGAGAGGGCGTCGCGGCCGCCACTTTTGCGGGTCCAGGTCCGTCGGTTTCGGTCCCAGGCCGTTTTCACTAAGGGGAGGTCTGCTAAAGGGAGGTTTGTCCGGCGCCGGATCTCCCGCCCCCGTGCCCTCCCTAGGGGGCCAGATGCCCCAATTTCTGAGGGGGAGGGTGGGGTTCACTTCGTTCGGGAGCTCCCGAGCAGAGTGAACCCCGCCCTCCCCCTCAGAAATCGTGGGGGGCAGGGCTATAGGGCTCGCATGTGGCCCCCTAATGGTGTATACCTTTCCCCTCAGAAATCGTGGGGGGTAGGGGCAGGGCTCGCATCTGGCCCCCTGCTCCCAAATCGGGCGGCGACGACGGCGTGCACGCCGGAGACCCGAGCCCGGCGCCGAGCCCGTCGTGGGCGCGGGGTGTGGGTGCGCTCGCCGGCCCCCCCCTGTGGGCGGCCCGGCCTCGGCCCCTCGCCGCGGCGGCGAGGGTGGCGCTGCCTCTCGGGGGTCGCCGCGGCGATCGGCGGTGGCCACACATCGGGGCAGAGTGTGTGTCGAGGAGTGGCACGGCATACCCTCTCCCAGCTCCGCCGCGGCGCCCTCGGGCCGCGCCCCGCGGCGGGCGTGCTGCCCTTTGCGGCCGTCCTCTCAACCAGACACGAGCCAAGTGTATTCCAGATTTCGTAATAAAAGGGAGGGGGTCTGGACCCTCCAAGGCAGGCCATTTCGGACCTCCCCCGTGGGAGAACCCTCCAAAACATCGTCCCCAGACCCGGGACCCCCCAGGTCCTCCAGGATAGCCTGGAAGAGACCCCCCCCCGAAGTGAGACCCCCCTCCCTTTCTTGCGAAATCTGGAGTAGTGAGTTGTCCGTGTTCGGTTCTCGAGAGGTCGCCGCGGCCGTCGTTTTCCAGGCTCGCGCCCGCCAGGTTTGGGTCTCAGGCCGTTTTCACTAGACCACGTTTTACTCAAGGGAGGTCTGTCCATCCCCGATCCTCGCAGGCCTGGGAGGCGGAGGCCAAAACCAAGGTCGGCGGTTGGCCTCCACCGAGGGAAGAGGATCCCTAGGCCGGTGGTGGGCGTAGGATTCGGGCTTCTTGGGCGGCCGGAAGATGACCACCGATGCCAGTGGGATCTGGCATCGGCTCTTCCCCCCGTGGAGGCACCGCTTCCTGTGCTGGTGTTGGTGCCAATGTGCAGGCCGCAATCTTCCTCCCCCCCTCGGACGGCAAGTACGGTACAGTCGGGGCCCTGAAGAAGAAACCCTTTTAGTTGGGGAGGGGCTCCGCGTTCCTTAAGTGTTTCACAGCTTGTCTTGGGTGTTCCTCAGGTTTTCGATGGGAAATCGAAGTTTAACTTATGGAAAAAAGGGGCCTCGTTCCTTATTTAGGGCTCCTTAGGTCAACGCCCCGACTGTAGGTTCGTGCCGTGTCGGCGCGGCGGCGACCCCGGCGCGGTCTCGTTCGAGGTCTGGTGCCGCCGGTGGCCCAGAATCGGCCAGCGTGAAAACGTCTGCGCTGTGGGGAAGCCGCGATCTTTTATCGGGGAAACGTAAGGCTCGAGTAAGCCGGAACCCGGGTTTGCCAGCTTTTTCGGGAGCCTCGAGACGGGGGTCAATGCAAACGGGGGTCAGCCAGAGCGCCAAATCTTGCAAGATCCTGCAGCGCCAGGGTCGCATTGACCCGGGTTTGGGTGCAGGATCCTGCAGGATCCTGCAGGATCCTTCGCATTGACCCGGGTTTGGGTGCAGGATCTTGCAGGATTTTGCAGGCCTGATTGACCCGGGTCTGGATTGACCCGGGTCAGAAGATCCCCGACTTTTTTTTGACGAGCGCGTCCTGGAATTTGACGGCTCCGTTTTCGTGGGATGTTTGCAGCGGGAGCCCGCGTCAAATTTTAGATTGGGTCTCGTCATTTTTATGATGGCCCCCGTCAGGCCAACCCGAGTCCCCCATACCCGAGTCTTACGTCTCCCCGATTTTAAGGTTGGACGGTCCACGCGGTGGCAGAAGCCAGCGTGCGGGTTTTGACGACATGCGCTGCGTGGGATCCGGCCCTGACCCAACCTTTGGGTCAGAGCGTGAATTACCCACCCCGCTCTCGCTTCCAGGCAAAACCAAGTCACACCACGCGCCTCCTCAGCAAGCGGCCGGACCAGTGCAGGCCGCAGTTCGGCACCGCTTGGTATCTCTTCGAAGCGAGTGGGGTCAAAAGCGAGGTACTCCAGATTTCGTAATAAAAGGGAGGGGGTCTGGACCCTCCAAGGCAAGCCATTTCAGACCTCCCCCGTGGGAGAACCCTCCAAAACATCGTCCCCAGACCCCCCAGGCCCTCCAAGATAGCCTGGAAGAGACCCCCCCCCGAAATGAACCCCCCCTCCCTTTATTACGAAATCTGGAGTAATTAGGGTTCTTTGCCTCCTATTTGGGTCGGTCTGAGAGGTCGCCGCGGCGATCGGCGGTGGCCACACATCGGGGCAGAGTGTGTGTCGAGGAGTGGCACGGCATACCCTCTCCCAGCTCCGCCGCGGCGCCCTCGGGCCGCGCCCCGCGGCGGGCGTGCTGCCCTTTGCGGCCGTCCTCTCAACCAGACACGAACCAAGTGTACTCCAGATTTCGTAATAAAAGGGAGGGGGTCTGGACCCTCCAAGACAAGCCATTTCAGACCTCCCCGTGGGAGAACCCTCCAAAACATCGTCCCCAGACCCCCCAGGCCCTCCACGATAGCCTGGAAGAGACCCCCCCCGAAATGAGACCCCCCTCCCTTTATTACGAAATCTGGAGTACCCTCTCCCAGCTCGGCCGCGGCTCCTCGGGCCGCGCCCCGCCACGGGCGTGCAGCCCTCTGCGGCCGTCCTCTCAGCCAGACACGATTCAAGTGTACACTCTAGGCGATGCTTAAGACAACCCAAGTTTGCGGCCAGAGTTTCGACTATTCTTAACGTTTCAATGTAAATCCTAAGTTTTGAATAGAAATTCTGGGTTTTTATTCAAATTCTGAGACTCTGAGTTTCTTAACCCATGATTTCCTGAGCATTTCGCAGGGTGTACACATCGACACCCATCTGTGCCAGGCACATCTTGTGCCCAAAATCGGTGTATGCGCCGCCCTGGCCGGGCCAGGGCGGGGCGTGCACCGCTCCCGGGGTCGGGATCGGCCCGGCAGGGGTTGGTGTCGGTGTCTCGATGTCGCCGTCTTGTCCTCCCCCCTCCCTCCTTCTTTTGAAGGGTCTGTCTGGACAGATGGCCCCAAGCTGAGCCACGAGAGGAAGCCGAGTACTCGAGCTTGTTGTTCAGGTAGTGTTGTCGTCGCTTGGTGACGGCCCCTGCCTGTCCCACCATCTCCCCCCCCATTACCCTCGTCCTCCCTTCCCTCCTCCATCATGCCTCCATCCGCGGCCTGCTGGGGCAGGGCTTGGCAGGCTGCGTATGTGTGTGTGCTCATTGCCAACGCAGGGCCACTCCAATGCCAAAGCGATCCCAACCCAATGCCAATGCACTGCCAATAGGGGGAAATCCTTTGTGGTAGATTGCAATAGGAATCCTTCGGTGGAGGGTGTCGCATGGAATCCTTCTGCGGAAGGTGCCAATATGAAGAATATAGATCCTTCTGCGGGTGATTTCAATAGGAATCAACATGTGGAGGGTTTCAGTAGGAATCACTCAGTGGAGGGTTTCAATAGGAATCCTTCTGTCGAGGATTTCACTATGAATCCTTCTTGTGGGGGCGTTCAATAGAAAACCTTTTTGAGGGGAGGGCAGATGAGGCCACGCCGCATTCCTTTGTTTCGCCTCCGCCCCCCCCCAAACAAATCATAACATAATCCGCGAATCTCAAGTCCGATTTTTTTGGGGGGGACACGTGGAGAAAAAAAAAAAAGGCAACGAGGGAGGAGCAGGAGGAGAGGGAGGAGGAGGAGGAGGAGGAGGAGGAGGAGGAGAAGGCGGACGAGGAGGAGGAAGAGGAGGAGGAGGAGGAGGACGACGACGACACAGAGCAGAGCTTGCACAGAAACAGTCGCGAACTCAACGCCACAGCCTCGCGCGCGGCCTCTGGAACCTCAGGCACTCCACAATCCCCCGTTCTCGAGGAGGTGAAGGAGGAGGAAGAGAAGGAGGAGGAGGAGGAGGAGGAGGAGGCGGAGGAGGAGGAGAAGGAGGAGGAAGAGGAGGACAAGGAAAAAGAAGGAGGAGAAGGAGAAGAGGAGGAAAAGGAAAAGGAAAAGGAGGAGAAGGAGGAGGAGGAGGACGAGGAGGTCTGTGGGTGGGGGGGGGGGCACCCGCCCACCCCCCTCTCTGATCAGCCGCGTGCCGCCGAGGTGGATCTCGGGCGCGGTGGAGCTCCCGGTGCGCCCGCTCCGCTTGTCCCCCCCCCGTTCTCTTTCTCCTCCTCTCCTGCCACTCCTCCTTCTCCTTCTCTCCTGCTACTCCTTCTCCTTTTCTCCTGCTACTCCTTCTCCTTTTCTCCTGCTACTCCTCCTTTTCTCCTGCTACTCCTTGTCCCCCCCCCCGGATCTCCTTTTCCTTCTCTCCTGCTCCTCCTCCGGTTTGCAGGAGGGGGAACTCGACCTCCTGGAGAGCCTTTTTGGTTCCCGGGCGACGACGGGCGTTACCGAACGGGGGGGAGGGGAATCGGGGGCGCCCAAGAGCAGGGTGATGAACAGGGGGTGTGGATCTCATGGCCAGGGCCATGAGACCTCCCAAGATTTCAAGGCGCCTCTGCTTATGTCAAGACGCCCCCGCCCCCCACCCCCTTGGCCGCGCACCTGCCGCCGCCCATGATTTGCGCCCCCCCCCTTGGACGCCCCCCTTTGGCCGCCCCCCCGAAGAAGGGGGGGGGGCGGTAACGCCACGCTTCGCGCGGGCGCCGCCTGGGAACGCTGAGAGAGAAGTGCCTCGAAGTCCGCTCGGAGGCCCCCGCACGAGTCGTGGCGTTACCGGGGGGGGGGCGGGTCGCTGGCGGCCGGGGCCGGTGACGGCCGCTGTCGGGAAACATGAGACATGGCTTTATGGCCATGCCTATGGCAACTTCTTGACGTTCCGCGTATCCCCACCAATTTTCGGCCGGCTTGCGACTGTCTTAGCGAATTCGCCTAGTTCGCGTCCCGGACTTTGCTCTTGCCGCCTGACCGTCGTCCCGTGGCCGCGACCGGAAAACTATCCCCACCAACCTCCGGGCCCTGGTCCCCAGACACCGGTCGGCTTGGCCGTGTCTGACTCGTACTCCGCCACTGGTGCTGGGCTCCGTCCTCCTCAGCCGCGGTGGGGGCGCCCGTCACCTGGCCGCATACTCTCTCCGTGGCGTGGTTCCGGGTGCGCCCTGGCGTTCAGGTCTCGCGCGTTCTGGCCAGTTCCGGCAGTGGTTGCACTCCCCTGTCTCTGGTCGTCAGCTGGCCACCTGGGGTACTGGCCGCCGTGTCTTGCAGGAGTGGTTCAGCCTTCTTGTTCAGCCTGGCGTGTCACCTGGCGGTCTGCCTCCCTGTCCTCTGGAACCCAGTGGCGACAAGGATTATGTCCCGTGCTTGGCGATTCAGCTCCCATGGTACTCGCACGTTGCAATTTTCCAGCCGCCTCCGCAGCTGGCAGCTTCCACCTTCGGCGCAGCTCAGCCCAGGCGCAGCGTCAATCGGCGGTAGGTTTAGTTTACTTGGTCGGCGCGCGCGCGGGCAATGAAGGGTGCTCGCGGCCCGTCCTTACTCTACTGACGCTGTCGGCCGGTCGGCTTGCAGCTGCGACTAAAAAGTATCCCGGTGCCCAGACGAGTTGCCTTGGTCAGAAAAGTGGGGGGAGGGGGCATGCAGAAAAACCAAGGGTTCGGGAAGCCTTCATACCCCAACAGGGGGAATATGGAGGATGAACCGGAAGAAATGGAGGACACGATGGAGGACACGGAGGACATGAAGGTGCCCTCCTCGGGCCTCGGCCCCCGTCTGAGCCCTAATGTTTTTTTTCGGCAGCCCTCGCTGCCCCCCTCATTTATCGCCCCCCACTTATCGCGGCCCGACGCCGTCTTTGACGGGATCGTCGTGGTGAACGCTTCTCCTGCAGCCCTTTTCCCACTGACTTGCGGAACGGGGTCTGCCACTGCGCAGATGACGTCAGCGCGTGGACCCTGAACACCGACCCTGCGCAATCTGTGAGTGGAGCCGCCGAAAGAGCACAGGGGACACGGTGGGGCCCCAACCATTCGTCGGCACCAACCACACTGCGCCAATCACATGGCAACACAAGGGACCCACCACAGGGTACCACCGCAAGGGGCACCGACCTGGGGCGCCGGCGTATAGGTCACCAGCTGCGCGGCACGAGTCTGGACCCGCCGACCCCGCACGAGAAAGTTACTCCAGTTTCCCCCCCCCCCCCCCTTAACCATTCTGAGTTGACTATCCTGGGCCAATACATGTTGGGTCAGGGCATAGAGGCGGCAAGGCCGAACTTGATCGCGGGGAAAAGTTGCGAATCGAAGTTGTTTTCTTCTTATGTTGAGTAGCGAGGCTTTCGAAGGAGTCATGTTGATTTCCTGAGGAATCCCATGGGTATCCTAAATATGCCGATGGATTTCTTCAAGAATCCGATGGATTTCTTCAGGAATCCGATGGATGCCCGAAGGACTCCGATGGATGTCCTTGGGGATCCTGTGGCTGTCCTAAAGAATCCGATATATGTGTGTTTCCGGAATCTTGGGGGGTTGCTAAACAATCCGATGAATGTTTTCAGGAATGCGGGATTTTCTCAGGGATCCTGTGGATGTCCGAAGAGATCTTATCGATTTCATCCGGAACCCTATGGATTTCTGTGGGAATCCCATGGATGTCCTAAGGAACCCTATGGATTTCCAAAGGGATCCAGTGGATGTCCTGCAAAGGAATCTTATAGATGTCACCCGGAATCCTATTCATTTCCTTCGGGATCCCATGATAGTTTTTTTGTGCCCAGACAGAACACCTGGGCGACACAACCCGAAGGGAGGTGCCCAAGGTGCCTGCATGAATTCACATGCAGTCGGACCTCGCAACACGAACGGCGGCACGGACACGCCCCAGGCGTTATCCGCGCCGCCGTTGCGAGGTGCCTCGGGATGCCACCCCGAGACACGGCCACCGGCACCACCCCCACTTGGCCGCTGGCCTCAAGCAGCGGAGGCCCCGCTGCCCAACGACTTAAGTTCCCGCGCCCCCCACGTCGGGGTACCCCTTCGAGTAACCCCATCGGGCCTCTCAGGGGTGGTACGGCGGGCCCGCACGTACTGTGGCTGGCCAACCACAGGGCAAGGGTCTGTTCCACAGCCCCGTCGAGCTGTGGCGACGATCGGGCTGCCAACCCGCTTGTTTCCCTGGGACGCCACGAGGGCACCCAGCGGCAAAGGTGCCAATCCCATGAATTCCCTGAGGGACCCGAATGATTTCCGAAGATTTCCGTGGGGCATCCATCGAATGCCTTAGGGGGTCCATAGGAATCCTTCAGCAATCCATGTGATTATACATATCTATAGATATGTATGTATGTCTGTCTGTCTGTCTGTCTGTCTGTCTGTCTGTATGTATGTATGTATGTATGTATGTGTATAGATAGTGTGTATATATTGATAGACGTCCATAATATTCCACAGGCAATCCGTGGGATTTCCCCTTGGGAAATTCAAAGGAATCCGTCGGACATCCATCGGATTCCTTCGGGCATCCATCGGATTCCTTCGGGAATCCATCCGTTTCCTTTTGAAATCCATTGGGTTCCTTAGGACATTCATATGATCCCTTAGGAAATCCATTGGGTTCCTTATGGGATATGTAGGAACCCCTAGGACATCACTTGGATTCCTTCGGAGATCGATTGGAATCTTTCGGACATCCGTGAGATTTCTTAGAAGATCCATAATATTCCGTAGGAATGCCATCGGACTGCTTAGGACATCCATTGGTTCTCGGAGGAAGCCCATGATATTCTTTTTGACATCCATACGGTTGCTGAGGTAACCCATAGGATTCCGTAAGAAATCGATCGTAATCCTTGGGGGATCCATCGGCTTCCTTAGGACATCCATTGGACTCTGTAAGGAAACCGTCGGAATCCTGAGGGCAGCCACAGGACTTCTCAGGAAATCCATCGGATCCCTTTGGACAGCCAGAGGATCCCGAAGGAACTCTATAGGAACCCTTAGGACATCTACAGGATTCCTAGGGAAATCAATAGGATTTCCATAGGAAATCCATTGGATCCCTTAGTAAGTCAATCGGAGTCCCCAGGAAATCCATCGGATTTCTTTCTATCTTATCGCTTTGCTCACTCCGCCGGCCCATTTCGCATCATTGTGGCTGCATGGTGATGTTCTCGTGATGTTGGGGGCTTCTCGGGGGCCTCAGGGCCTCTTACTGGTCTTTTGTTAGGCCCTGAGGGCGGCCTGCAGGAGCAAAAGGATCTCTGATGGGGACTTGCGGGGGACCTGCCCGGGACCTGCTCGGGGTATTTGTCTGCCGTGGACTTCCAGGGGCCGTCTTGCGCGCGCGAACTAGAAATATTGTTATCGAGTTGCTGGAGGTCTTAGCGCGCCTCTGGCTCGTTGGGCCGGCGGCGATTCCTGTCGTGATGATTTATTCGTCGTTGGCGCAGAGGGGGGAGAAGGAGGAGAGGGAAGAAAGAAAGAAGAGCTTGTGAGACGATAAGAGGTTTTTCGGGGGCCGGAGCGCTGTTCGTTCGAGGATTGAGAGTCGTAGACGCAGAGGGGGGAGAAGGAGGAGAAAGATGAAAGAATTTTGGATCTGCGGGGCGAGAGCGAAACTCTTCCGCTAAAAGCTAGGCGGGTTACGCACCGCTTTAATTAGGGAGACAGGGCACAGGAAGGCGGGGCCTCAGGCGGCCGGAGCGGGCGAAGCCCGGGGTGCAGGCGGTGCCGAAGTGGATGTGCAGGAGCAGGTGCGCCGCGGACTGGTGCCGGGGGCGAAGACCCGGAGGACCGAGGAGAAGGTGTTGCAGTCGACGGCGCATCGCGAACACCAGCCTCAAGCGCTGCAGAGGGGGACGTGCCACTTGACCAGGTCGACGCCCAGGAAGAAGAGGAGCACCACGAAGGCGATGCGCAACGTTGTGCCACCGGGCGATGCGGAAGAGGCCCGGGGTGGTAGTCCAATCCACGACCAGGTAGCAGCGTAGCATGAGAAGGAAGAACAAGGAAGGGTTAGTGAGACGATACGCGGGCTCTCGGGGGCCTCTTGGCGGCATTACTGAGCCTCCTGGGGCGTCGAGGGGGCCTCTAGTGGTCCTCTTTGGGGTCTCCCGGGGCTTTTTCAGGGGCCGCTTGGGAGCTTCTTGCGGTTTTCTCGAGGCCTCCAAGGAAACTCTCCGCGCCTCGA